GTGTGTGAGAGTGAGTGTGTGTGTGAGAGTGAGTGTGTGTGTGAGAGGGTATGTGTGTGTGAATGAGAGTGTGTGTGTGTGAATGAGAGTGTGTGTGTGTGAATGAGTGTGTGTGTGATTTTAAAAAAAAACTTGTTTATTTTATTTGCTTTAACTACATGTATACCTGCATGCCAAAAGATGGCATCAGATCCCACTACAGATGGTTGTGAGTCACCATGTGGTTGCTGGGAATTGAATTCAGGACCTCTGGAAGAGTAGTAGTAAGTGCTCTTAAACTCTTAGCTATCTCTCTAGCCCCTTGGTATTTTTTTTTTTTAAGCTAAAAAAAAGCTTTCAAAAGAACCAGGTTCTCTCAGTTGCAATGTGTAAAAATTGATACAATAACCAGTTTTGGAATTGATTCATTGTAAATTATTTGGTTCATGTGTAATAAAACCTAATACTACCAGAAGTGGTGGCCCAGGCCTTTAACTCCAGCCTGTTTTACATAGTGTGTTCCAGAAAAGTCAGAGGTATAGAGTGACCCTTTCACAAACACAACAACAAGAAATCTAGCCCCACTAGAAGTGACAATAGGCACATGCTCTCTGCTTGCACTGTTAGTAAAGGTGAGATGGCTTTGAGCACAGGCTGATTGTTCTTCACACATGTTTGTGGGAGTTAGTTCTCCCCTTCCATGTGGTTCCTGAGGATTGAACTCCTGTCATCAGGTTTAGTGGCAAGTGCCCTTCTCTGGTGAGCCATCCTGACAGCCATGTTCTTTCTGGTCTGAATAGTGAGTGTGTGCTTGTCTCTGAGCACAATGTATGTGTCCTGTTTTCCTGTCCACTCCTGCCCAGGTAATCCAGATGTTTGTTTCTCTTCTTTGTGTTTATTTTTATTTTTATGTACATAGGTATTCTTCCTGCATGTATGTCCCTGTGAGAGTGTCATGTCCCCAGGAACTGGAGTTAAAGACAGTTGTGAGTTACCATGTGTGTGCTGGGAATTGAACCCAGGTCCTTTTGTTAAGAACAGCTGGTGGTCTTAAATGCTGAGCCATCTCTCTCCAGCCCTGTGTTTCTTTTTATTTTTTGAGATAGTCTTGTAATGTAGTTCCAACTGGCCTGCAACTTGACATTGTAGACCAGACTGGATTCAAGCTTCTAGAGACCTTTCTGTCTCTGCCTCCCTGGGCTGGGATGCTAGGTATGTGCTACCATGTCCAGTGAGGGATGCTTAGAACTTTCATATTCTTTTCTTGTAAGTAAGGAGGGGTTGCATTCTGGATGAGGCTTCCAAATAAAGCTGGTGGGTGAAAGCAGTTGAACTAGAGGTGCTCAGACATGATGATTCTCTTGTTCCCCAGGGTGTTATGACCTGGGAAAGCCCAGAACAGCCCACCTACATCAAGATGTTGACAACCCTCCCTGAGATGCACATTGCAGTCACTGTAGATATAGACCATACTATCAAACTGTGGGACTGTCACAACAGGGACGCTCTGGCGACTAACAAGCTGCTCTTTCCCTGTCAAACAGTGAAAGCTGTCTTTACAAAGGATGGCCCGATTGTCTTGGTAAGTGACCCCCAAATCTGGAATAGACACAGAACAAAATATTTGGCAATTTGAGGTCCCATTACTGTCAAATCCTAGCTTGCCATCTTGGAGTCTCTGCAAACCCTGAGAGTCAATCTCAGTATACCGAAACATGGCCATCCCTTAGCCTTTGACCTACTTCATGTACATTCTTTAAGCCATTGTCTTAAAAGTATCATTTTAAAATTCCTTCCTGGGATCTGGGGAGAGATGGTTGAGTGGGTAGCAGTGTTTGCTGTGCAAGCATGTGCAAGACCCGAGTTCTAATTCCTGACACTCACATTTAAAGTGAGATGTGAGTAAAGGTGCCAGTAGTGTAGGGGATGGAAACACAAGGGTCACTGGGACTAGACAGCTGCTAGCCAAGCCAGCCTGAGTCCAGGTTCAATAAGAGACTCTCTCAGGAAATCAGGAGAAGAGGATAACAGGATACCTGGTGTCCTTTTCTGGATTCCATGTATGCCCTGGTATGTAATCTATGTACACATACATAAATATACATATAACATGCACACACATACACACACAGTTTTCCTAAGTGGTTTTACATCTTCTTGTGTTTGAATTGTTTATTATTTGTGAATCCATGAATTTGTGTAGAGACAATAGAGAGAAAAATGTGAAAGATATTGAGAAAAATGGACAACACTGATGTCCCAGTGAGTCTTGGGGAAGAGGGTTTTAGGGCTTGGAAAATCTTTGCACATACCCTCCCTCATGAGTTTGAGACAGAATCTCATGATGTAGCCCTGGCTGGCCTAGACCTCACTGTGTAGACTAGGGTGGTCTAACTCACTGAGTTCATACTGCGTCTGCCTTCTGAGTGTTAGGATTGAAGATAATATACTACCTGGCCCTACAAAAGTTTCTTTTAAAAAATCCTGAAGGGCATGGTGATGCATGTCATAGAGGCAGGTGAATCTCTTGAGTTTGAGGTCAGCCTGGTCTACAGAGTGAGTCCAGGATAGCCAGTGCTACACAGAGAAATCCTGAAACCTGTCTGAAAAAACCCAAAGAGAAAAAATTATTTTGTGTGTGAATATTTTGCCTGCATGTGTGTCTATGTATCACATACAAGTTTGGAGGTCAGAAAAAGCCATTGGAGGCCCTGGGGTTGAACTCCAACCCCCACTCCTCTCGTCAACAATTACGCACTGAGTCATCCCCCACCCCCAGGGATCATCCCAGATGCTCTGTGAGGTAGGCTGCTCAGAGCTTTGGATCTCTTGTTACTGGACTTGAAGACACAGTGGTGTATCTTAGAGCAGATAACACTGCTTCCTCCATGCTTAACCTTTTCTCACTGACCCAATGCTGATGCTCTGATTTCAGGCAGGTGATATCGCGGGTGACCTCTACATCTTTAGGATTCCCAACTTACACCTCATTTCCAAAGTCCGTGTATTCCAATATGGTATTAACAAAATCTACTGCTCTCCTCAGAAGAAATGGGTCTTTCTGAGTAAGAAAGACCAACATATGTTGCCAAAGGTAGGTCTGTTCTAGCAACTCCAGGGTGAAGGTGGGAGATGGTGGGAAGGTCCAGTCCTCAGGGAGGTTCAGGCAGACCACTCCTGCTCTCCTAAGCCCTATCATAAGGACAGCCATTCCTATAGTCAGGAGATAATAATGTGCTTGGAAGCAGTCACATGACCAACCACAATGGCAAATGCCTGTTAGTGAAGTGTACTTGAAATTTGGCTGAGCAAAAGGACAAAGCCAGGTGAAATAACAGTCCCCAGAACCCTTTGCTGGTCCTGAACTCGAAGAAATTTTCTATCACTGGCTGACATGCCTACCCACCCCATGACACATTTCTCATAAGTGCTACCATACCCAGTGCTTTATACACTGCCTTCTCTCTTTACTGCCAGCTCTCTGGTGTCTGGTTCTTAGGTACTGTGAGAGAGACAGTCCAATCAGAGGCCAAGTACTTCTCAGGGCCCAAGCATATTTATTTGGTTTTATACACAACATACTTTCAAAGCAACCTGGGTTACAGAAGACAGTCGCAAAGCCTCATTTAAAAAAAAATCCAGAACAGCCCTGGACTAGTCCTCTGCACAGGGAAAATGTACTTAACCAATCTCTGCCTGATGAGTCCATTACAGTAGGATGACAAGGTGCCCTTTGACCTGGGTCAGGGATTCCATTCTGTCTCTGAATATGATGGGAGGGACAGGAAGATGGTGAGTTACTTTGACCCTGAATGAGAGCAATGAGTGTTCTGCCCTGTCCTGGGTGAAGAACAGATGCAGCCACTCCTGGGTTTCTTTTGAAAGACCCTTGTCTGGAGTGCACGTGTGGCAGGCTGCAGAGGTGTTACTCTTCACTGATTCCACTGGGCAATCCTCTCTGCAGGTGTATTTACTGAGCAGCTTACTGAGGACATCAGAATTCTCCGCCCCTGTGTCTACCAGTCTCTCCTTCTCATTATGCCGAAGAGCCTTCTGGACCACAAGAAGGGAAGACAGGATAACCCTGATGTCCAGATGTGGCCCCAAAAAAGTCACAAAATTTGCCACATTTGATATGAAGCTGGAAGAGATGGATAATCAAATAATTGTTAAAGGTAAACCTTAGAAAATTCTCAAGCCAGACGTGATGGCACATGCCCAAAATCAGGAGACTGTGTCAGGAAAGCTTCTTATAGGGTGCTGTCTCACAAAAGAAAAAGATGGAGCTGAAAAGATGACTAAGCATATGCACATGCATACATATACCCAAAGAGACACGCACACGCGTGCACACACACACACACACACACGCACACACACACACACACACTAATAAAGTTAAAAAGTAAAAATAAAATTAAAATATCAAGCATTGTAATGCATACCTTTAATCTGAGCATTTAGGAGGAGAGACAGGCAGATCTCTCTGGGTTCCAGGCCAGCCTGATTTATACAGTGAGTACAAGGTTAGCCAGGGATACATTGTGAGACCTTGTCTCAAAAAAAAGAAAACCAAACAAAAACCCCCAAATGACAAGGAATAATGAACTGTATTATGGGGTGGCAAAATGGCTTAGGGCAGTGGATCTCTACCTATGGGTCATGATCCCTATGGCAGACTGCTATCTTAAAAAATACTTTCATCACGAATCATAACAGTAGCAAAATTACTGTTATGAAGTATCAATGAAAGTAACTTTATGGCTGGGGTGACCCACAGTGCCACATGAGAACTGTGTTAAAGTTCAATAGGAAGCATTAGGAAGGTTGAGAAGCACTGGCTTAAAGGAGAGAGACACTCAACCACCAAGCCTGACAACCTACTTCAATTCCTGGAGTACCACATGATGGAGGAGAGAAACCAAATCCCTCAAGTTGTCCCCTGACCCCAGTATATGTGCTGTGGCATGAACACTTACACAAACATAATAATGTAAACACAGTTTTAAAGAAATCCTGATATCCCCTGTCTCTCCCACAAGTGCTCATCATAATCTATAAATAATGCTTGTCATTGTTTTGTATTATTAGTCATTCAAGACAGGGTTTCTTTGTGTAGCCATGGCTAACCTGGAACTTGCCCTGTAGACCAGGCTGGCCTGGAACTTGGAGATCCACTGGACTCTGCTGGGATTGTGGATCACCATATGATGATGCTGGGTTTTGTAAAGGGAGCAGCAGGCTCCTTGTCCAGATGTGAACCTGTGCCTGTTTGATGGTCACTACACTAGTGAACTATGGTTTCCTTGGGCAGACATGTTTCCATTTCCGTCCTGTATTAGGGACTGGGTTCTACTGTCTTTTCCTCTATAGTTGTCTTTTCTAATGTTTGAGCTATTGACTGTTCATACGGTCCCTGTGTCATAGCCAGCCTATTCTTGGCCAAGGACATGGACTTGTCAGGACATGGAACTGTTTTTATTGTCTTTATCGGATTAGCATGCCATGGAAGTAGGGATACAATTTTTACATTTGGGATTTTTCTCTTATTTTTTGAAAAGTATTTATTTATTTATTTATTTATTTATTTATTTATTTATTTAATGTGAGTACACTATAGCAGTCTTCAGACACACCAGAAGAGGGTATCATGTCCCCATTACAGATGATTGTGAGCCACCATGTGGTTACTGGGGATTGAACTCAGGACCTCTGGAAGAGCAGTCAATGCTCTTAACTGCTGAAGATTTTGCTCTTACTTAAATGATTGAAAAATTGTCTGTGTATTTTGTGTTTGTTTGGAACAGGACATTTGGTAGCAAGTTTCGAGTTGCAAGCTTACAGCCCAGAATGGATGGGAGTCAGTTATAAGAACGTGATTGTCTGTTCAACTGTATCCTCTCTCTTGCTCTTTAGCATGGAGGGCTGCCATCTGCAGAGATTTCAGTACTATCCAGAAAAGATCTTGAGACTATGGGTGGTACGTTTGGAATATTTCCCTTCCAGTGGTGTTTTAAAAGAAGTAGATCTACATTTTTTAAACTTCACACTGTTGGGTTGTGCGTGTGTGCATTGGCACGTGGGTAAGCACTTGCAGAGGCCAGAGGCTGACTTCCTGGAGTTAGTCTCTCTCTTTCCACCTTTACATGGTCAGAGCACCAGGCTTGCTCAGCAAGTGCCTTTACCTGATGGACTGTCTCCTAGCCCCTCTCCCTGTCTTTTGATCTGACATTGACTCCAGCCTTCTTACCTTTGGGTGTTCTTTGAAGGACCCCGTTTATGTCATCGTCACCTTTATTCACGGATCTTTGGAGGTGTACACATGGGAGGAGAGAAGCCTGCTGCTCAGGAGGTGTTATTGGCTGCCAAACAGGAGATTACTGCCAACTCAATGGTAAGCTCTGCTTCTTAACTTAAACTAGACATTAATTTTTAAACATTTCTGGGGCTGGAGAGATGGCTCAGCAGTTAAGAGCACTGGCTGCTCTTCCAGAGGACTTGGGTTCAATCTCCAGCATCCACATGGCAGCTCACAAGTGTCTGTAACTCCAGTTCCAGGAGATCTGACTCACACCTTCACACCAATGCATTTAGAGTTAAGTTAAACATATTAGAAAGTTCTATGTAAAAATGCATTTTTATTAGAGAAATGAGCTTTCTATAAAAAGATATGACTAAATTTATGATCTCCATCATCATACAGAACAGACATTTTGCTGTGTATATTAATATTTAAGTAGAGGCAGGAGGATCCAGAAGTTCAAGGTCACCTTCTGCTGTTTAGGAAATTTGGCAGCCAGATTGGCTTAATTGCAAAACCATCACAAAAGAACAAAAGTAGGAACTGGCTAAGCATAACACACACCTTTAATGGCAGCACTCTGGAGGCAGAGTCAAGTGGCTCTCTTGTCAGTTTGAGGCCAGCCTGGTCTACATAGTGAGTCCCAGGACAGCCTGGGCTTTAGGGAGAGATTATGTATTAGGAATGAAGGGAGAGAGGGAAAAGAAAGAATTGCTAGTTCTTGGGATCCAGTTATTATGTCACCAGTCTCAGGCCCACAGGTGAAGTAGAGGGACTGCATCCTCATACCTTGTCTTTAATGGCAGGATGGGTTCTCCTGAGTGTGGTCCCCACTTGGGTTGCTTCATGAGTGAGCTGTCATTATTTCCATTTGGCTCATTTTCCTTTCAGTTTTACTTGCCTTCATCCAAGTTACCTTCAGTGATTGTGGTGCAGCCTCTGCTGTCTTGGAGTCAGGCTGACCTAGAACTCAGAGATCCACCTGTGTCTTCCTGGGACTGAAGTTGTTCACCCAGAGTCCCTTTTCAACAAGGGTCCACAGCACATGACAATTTACCAATATAATTTATATTACATGTATGAGTAAAAGATATCTCTCCCTTTGAACATAATGGCACATGATTCCAGCATGCAGGAAACTAAGGCTAAGAATTACCTCATGTTTGAGGCTAGCATATGCTACATTCAAATTTGTTGCAAATTTCGGCTATACACAATGAAAACTTATTTCAACTTTTTTTCTATACTCTGTGGGGTTTCTCTTCCTTCTCTTGGTGGATGATTTTGTTGTTGGTTGGTTGGTTTTGGTGTTTCGTTTACTCCAAAGTGCTGTAGAGAGACTTTTTAGGGTGATTCAGTCCCAGTTGCCAGTTCTTGCTTTGGTTGCTGGTACTGGAGAGTCCCTAGCCAAGAACTCCTGCCTAGACCTGAGTCACAGAGCTTTTTCTACAGATTCTCTTTTAGTCATTTTCCAGTCTCAGGTCAGTGTTGCTTTCAGTGTGTTATGAATTTATTATTGAATTATTCAGTAGTGGGAAGTATAAGAAAGTGGTTACTTTTGAATCTTCCTGACACCATTAATTGGAGAGCCTGTTTTTTGTACTTAAAAAAAAAAATCAAGAAGTGATAAAAGTACAGGTTCTCCTAGGATCTGATTCATCTATTTGATGGCAGTAGCATTCATTCTGGTTTGATCACAACTTGCTGTGATATACTTTAAATCTGATATTGTGATATCTTCAGTTTTGTTGTTTCTCTCAAGAAGGCCTTGGCTATGTAAAGTATCTTTGTGTGTGCGTGTGTGTGCGTGTGTGTGCATGTGCATGCATGTTGTTGTTTTGAGACATCTTGTACACCCCCAGTCTGGCCTCAAACTTGCTGTGTATTTAAGGCTAGCCTAAAACCTTATGTATCCAAGAGTTTTTTCGGTGAATCTGGTATAAATGGTTGGAGCGTCATCTGCTTTAGAGTCTCTGTAGACTTACAACTTGAGGAAGGGATTTTGTCTTTCTTGTGCTGGGGGAGTGGATTCAGGGTCTTGCACATGGAAAGGATGGACTCTGATAATGAACTTTATCCCAAATTTCAGGGAGTTTTTCTGTGTTCTCAACATGCCGAGTGGAGGAAGATAGGGGTGCCATTTTTACCACCTCAATGCAAAGGAGACTATGGGTGTGGACGACAGGTTTCAGCTAGTCTGGAAGGCCACGGGCAGGAGGCTGTGTCCTCGCCCAGGGCAGGCCTGACACTTATGAGCTTCTCAGTGATCTAGGAGAGGTGTCCCTCAGTAGTAAAGAATGGAATGATTGACATGAGCCCCACCATCTCCACGCCCCCTAGTGGGGAGGGAATGCATTGCTTCTTTACTATGTTTTCTCTGAGTGGGCCATGTTTGGCTAAAGGAACAGAATTGAATTTTAAAATAAATTTATAAATTAAAATCTTTGGTTTTTTTCTGAGACAAGGTCTCACTATATAGCCTAGACTAACCTCAAACTGCCTCAAACTCTGTCAATTCTCTGGCCTTAGCCTCCTAAGTTGCCTCCTAAGTTGAAGTGACTTATAGGTATGAGGCCTCACAACCGGCTTTTCTTCTTGTTCTTAAGCTAGGTAATCTACTGAACGACTGAGAATTGAGAAGTGGGGCAGAGGTCTATGGCAGAAGGCTGGGATTGGACCTCATGCTATGAATGATAGTCTTCCTTTGCCAGTGTGAGCAGTTACTCAAAATTAACCTGAGCTGGTTCAGCAGTTTAGGCAACAGTCACCAAGCCTGACGAGTTCAGTCTCTGGAACCTGCTTGGTGAAAGGAGAGAACTGATTCCCACAAGTTATTACCTACCCACTCCATGCATATGAGCACACGCATGCAAGGGGACACACACACACACACACACACACACACACACACACACACACGTATACAGTCACACATACACACAGGCATGCAAATGTAGGCACATACACACTCAGGTATACACACACACACAAACACACACAAGTGCATACATATATGTACACTTACACATATGACACATAAGTATTTAAAAGTTTTAAAGAAATTCAGGACTGTGATGAAAAGACAGTCTATCAGTTGATAAGCTTCACTCCCGATTGAATACTGACATCTTTTTTTTCCTTTGGCAGCGCTTATTACCAAACATTATGTGACGATGTGAGCATAATTCGAATGATGACAAATGTTCCCGACCCCAGTTTTCTGATGGCATATACTTTGAGAATCTGTTCTTGATAACTGAGTAGGTTATGTGTCCTCTTCCTCAATGATAATAAAAATCTATTTGCAAGGCCAGGCTGGTGATTTCAGTGTTGCTAAGAAGTAAAGAGGCCAAATGTGGCGGTGCACACCTTTAATCCTGACACCGGGGAGGGAGAGGCAGGTGGAAGATCTGAGTTCTGAGGCCAGCCTGGTCTACAGAGCTAGTTCTAGGCCAACCAGGGCTACATTATGAGAATCCATCTCTGAAACTAAATCCATGGCTAGTTGTACAAGCAATTTGTCTGTGACATCTGTCACTTCACTGCTGTAGGGTTGACTCAGATGACCAGGCCATGTGGGCAGCTTATCACTGCAGAAGCCATGTGGCAAATTAAAAAAGAAAAAGACTTTTTTTGAGACTATAATTATCCTTTCCCCCTTCCTCCTTTAAACCTTCCCATATACCTTTCCTCACTGTTCTCTTTTGAATTCTTGACCTCTCTTTTTTCCTCAAACCATTCTTTTTTTAAATCAAGGGCATATGGGCTGGAGAGATGGTTCAGCAGTGAAGATCACTGGCTGCTCTTCCAGACCACCTGGGTTCAATTGCTAGCCCACCTACAGCAGCTAACAACTGTCATAAAGCTAAAACAACAACACACATAAAAATCATATTAAAAAATATAATTAATAAAAGCCGAGTGGTGGCAGAGTACAGCTTTAATCCCAGCATGTGGGAGACAGAGTCAACCAGAACTAAGTTCAAGGCCAGCCTGGCTTACAGAGTGAGTTCTATGACAGTCGGGGCTATATAGTATATGTACACAGAGAAATCCTGTCTAGAAAAACCTTAAAATGGTAATTAAAGTTTATTTGAGCTTATGGTTTTGTTGTGGGAAATATTTAAAAAGTTGACACCATCCCCTGCTCTGTCCAGATACTCTATGCCTTGGCAGTCCCAGTCTCACCACCTCCAAGGCTAGCCCCAATACGGTGGTCTTCCCAGCTCTGGTTCACCTGCCTCAGAGCCGCTAGTTCCTGCTCTGCCATCCATCCCCTATGGCTGGTGGTTTGAAAAATCCTCTTAACGAATCCTCTTAACCCAGTAAATCAAAACTCTTGAGGCTTATAATTAAT